TTCCAAACTCAAGTAGTCCTGGAGGAACTTTAAGACAACTTCTATTCATCAGTGTCATGACTGAAGAAGTATCTTACTGGAGGCCCAGGCAAATCCTCTTCTCCATCAGTGTCTGGGGCAAATGACACAGTAAGATCCACATATTTCTTTTCAGTAGAAGGTTTCACAAGTTTATGCATTCTAAGAAAAAATAGACAAGGATGCTTTGGTATGTTCTTTGGTATGTTCTGTAAACTGAAAGTATGATTTCCTGATAATGCCATATCCAGAGAACCTGGACCTGTGTTGAAATTTGATTTTCAAATCTAGTAATCTATCCACTTTCATATAGTAATTTTTCTTTACTGAAAGCTCTAAACTCAAGACACTTGTTTAGCTAACAATGAATCAATTAGGATCACTGCTAATGATAAAGAATACATACCATTTACTTAAAAACCAAAAAATAGGAACTAGCAGATGATGGCAATGGTTATGCTGCTGGACTGACACATATTCGACTGCGGTTCAAGTCCCAACCTGACAGCTTTAAATTCATACCAGGCATGTGCACATACATGCCCGAAATCCTGAGAGAAGAATGGAGGAGAAGGGATTGTGGTGTGGCCATTCACTATAGGGGATGATTTCTCATTTTCTGTCTTTCTCTCTGGTGAATGCATGTTCCCTATAGCAAAAATCTCTAAAAAATAAAAAATCTCCAAAATGTTAACGATGATTTTAAAAAGTTAATCCTCCTATACTTGCTATAAAGTTTGGAGGAACAATAAATTCTCAAGCATTTCTCTGTAGATGAGAACTAAGTAGTATGCACTTTGCTTTGCTCAAGGCTGTATCTTCAGTGCTTAGAACAGTACTGGTACACAGTAGGTAACTTTATCAAAAATCTATTGAATGGGGGACCAACTGAGGCATAATAATTATGTTGCTGGAATCTCACATAGTTGATGGTGGTTCGAGTCCTGGACCTGGTGGCTTAAAACTCATGCCAAGTGCATGTGTGTGCATGCCCAAAATCCTAAGAGGAGAATGGAGAAGGGACTGCAGTGTGGACAACCCCACGGGGAGGTGATTTCTCACTTTCTGTCTCTTTCTGTCTCTCTGGTGAGTGCATGTGCCCTATAGTAAAAATCTCTCTTTTAAAAAAAACCCCAAAAAACAAAAAAACCTTTTGAATGGAAATAACAATTTTAGCAATGTTGTTTTATACCTCAGACTTATAAGCCCAGTCATTACATGTTTCCACATAATTGGGTCACTTTTATGAAGGACTTCAAAAAATCTGTGGAAAAATTTAATTAAAAGTGTTAGTGCATTTCAGTGCAAAAATATTTGGAAACTTGTGTGAGTTTTTTTGTGATGAGCATTTCCCATGGATTTTTTGAAGATCCTTTATGCACTGACCAAATAAGGTTTCTAAACTTATTAGCTGAAAACCTAACTTTAGACTTTCAATAGGCTCAGCAGAGTATTACAATCCTACAGATCTCTCTTTTTTTTTTTTTTTTTGAGAGAATTTTGCTATAGGGCAAGTGCACTCGCCAGACAGACAGACACAGTAAGACAGAAAGTGAGAAAGTGAGAAATCACCCCCCAGGGAAGATGAGCATGCCGCAATTTCTTCTCTTCCATTCTCCTCTCAGGATCTTGGGCACACACACACATGCGCCCGGCGTGAGTTTTAAGCCACCAGGTCCGGGACTTGAACCACAGTCGACTACAGGGGAGTCCAGTGACATAGCCATTATGTTAACTGCTGGTCCCTCCTATAGATCTCTCTTGATCTCAGTAGCCTGTTGGTCTAGACTGGGCTAATTAACTGCCTTTATTAATGCCATTAGATGAAAATAATAATACTTTTATCCTAATTTCAATAACTATATCCAACTGTCCAGTGTTTTAATTCTTGTGAATCTTTTGCATATGTTTGATACTTACGTTAACTTTAGTCTTTTTGCATGACCAGGCATTACAGGAACATAAAGCATTTTGACTCCCTGTACCACCATTGTTGGCTCAATTCCATATGTTTCCTAAAAGACCCAAAACAGAAACAATCAAAGCCTCAACCAAACATAAAATACTTATGTGACAATGTTTTATGACTAGTAAAAAGGAGCAAATTCATGTGAAATGAAACTTTTACCCTCCAATGAAGTTATCGATAAAAATGAAATAGAAACCAAAACTACTAATGAATCAAGTAAATAAAATGATCTCACTTTGACTGCATTTATGAAATCCAAGAGGGTGAAATCTTCTTTTCCATGTATAGTCCATCTGTCCCAAATTGTAAATGATATTCCATTTCTGTTGTAGAAAAATATTCAGAAGAGGAACATTTAAATTGTTTTCACTTTAATAACAACAACAACAATAATAAAAACACCAACAATACATTATGTGATCTAACTAGAAATTAATGTTGAGGGAAAAAAAATACAAGTTCTAGAGTATTTTATAAACTTATTTTGCCATAGCATTATACAAGTATCCACTGTATTAGCACCTTGTTGACCCTTCCAGAGTCTCATTATAAATAGTGTGTCTTAGCAAGAGTGTTCTCTTTTTCTCAGTGCCACAGGGCTCATATGAGAGAGAGAGGAAGAGAAAGAAAGAGCAACAGAGAATTCCATAATGCACCTAGCTGCGCTATAATCTTTTCCCCCCAACTCTTCATGCCATCAGGATTCTGGGCAAATGTGTGCATGTCTGGCATGTTTTTCAAGTCAACGGGGCCAGGACTCTCTCACGGGTAGGCCATGAGGATCCAGCTTACTATGTGTAGTGCCTTACCACTGTGCTACAGAATGGACTCTCTTTTTGAAATAGCTGCTTGGGTCTCACTATGTATAGGTTCCAGTCCCCTATTATTAGACATTGGGTTGTTCCAAATGTTAGCTAAGATAAACAATGCCAGAATTATTATCTTGCACATATATAAGCTGGGATCTTGGGCATGCACGCATGAACACGCGGTATTTTTTTTTTTTTGAGGGAGGGAGAGGATATTTTGCTATAGGGCACATGTGCTTGCAGAAAGACAGACAGAGACAGAGAGACAGAAAGGAAGAAATCACCCCCTGGGTTGATGGCCTCGCTGCAATCCCTTCGCCTCCATTCTCCTCTCGGGATCTTAGGCATGCATGCACACATGCTCGGCATGAGTTTAAGCCACCGGGTCCGGGACTCGAACTGCAGTTGACTACATGGGAGTCCAGCGACACAGCCATTATGCCAACTGCTGATCCCCACCCACCATGATTTTCAATCCTGGTGGCCATGTGGGAGTGGTCCCAACATAGATGAAATCTTAAAGGTGTAATGCAAAATAGTATGGCAGATTAAGCACTTTGAGGATTCTTAGGCTGGTTTAGTCAGAAATGCTACCTGAAGATGAGGTGTAAACTAGTCTTAAAGTGATGGGAAAGATTTACATACATAGAAAAAGTGAAGTGAAGCCAGTATTTAGCCCTTTTAAAAAGGAAAATATTTTATTTCAATTTCACTTTACTAGTGCAACAGAACTTCATACATACCTAATTTCAGTTTTTCTTACTTCAGATGTCTCTGTAAACACTATAATTGGAATGGCTAAGTTAAGAAAACAATTTTTGTAAGCTTCAAATGGATAGCCACCAGTTACTTTGATCATCTCCAAGGCAACCTAGATAAAAGAAGGCAATCTGATTATATATAAATAGCCTAAAATATTCATAACTTCAATCAGATCTATTCAATTTTCCCAAGTTCTTAAAAGCATGTCTCTAGAAAAGTAAAAGAAGATACAAGACTGCAGTAACGTAAATTTCTTACTTACAGACCTCTACCACTTTAGCATATTTTATATTTTCAACCTACTCTATAACATGATAAAATTGTTTTTAAAAAAATATTGTGCCAGTCGGCAGCATGGTGGTTAAAGTGGCTGGATCTTACATGGCTGACTGTGCAATTCAAGTCCCAGACCTGGCATCTTGAAAACAAACCATGTTATGTGTGCTAAAAATCCCAAGGAGAGAAAGGAGGAGAAGAGATTGTGGTGTGGCCATTCCCCAGAGGGTGCCTTCTCACTTTACTTCTCTGTGTCTCTCTGGCAAGTGCATGCACCCCATAGCAACATTTAAAAATATATTTATCTAATTTGGCTACATAATCTCCCTACTTTGAAAGCAGATAACTACAGAGCTTCTAAGAACAGCTTTATTCTCAGCACGATTGCTATGATTTATAATGATATAAGATGATATAACTAGGACCATACTAGAGATCCTGATCATTAAGAATAAATAGGAAAATTCATCTTATTTAAGAAAAACAGAGCATCTGCTTTTTATGGAAGATACAAAGATGACTGAGAGAATTATTTCTTATAAGAAAAATGATAGTCCATTTTAAAAATGTTATTTTAGGAATATTTAAGACATGATTCTTTATGCATTATTCAGTATGCACATGCACACATGAGAGAAACAGGGAAAGAAGGGTGGGGGAGATGTGAGTACCCTCCATAGGGCTCAGTAATGCCACAATCCCCTTCTTCTAGGCTTCCAGCCTAACAGATCCTGGGAATTCAAGTGCATGCCTTGTACGCTTTAGACTGACCAACCACGGAAAGAACTATAGTTGCCATGTGGAATCTAGACTCTCTTGAGCATATATCATTGCTATGCCATAGAGCTTATTTGTTATCTTAAAATGTTTAAGTATATGAAGTTTGAAAATATCTATTCTTGTATTTTCAGAAATACTTTGGAATTCTTAATTATAAGAGTCAATGTTTATCCCTCCTGCTATAAGATCTCTGAGTGACTGGTTGGGGTTGGCAAGATGAGGACAGCAGGGAAGTCAATAAAAAAGGAGCATTCTGGACCCGGTGGCTTAAAACTCACGCTGGGCGCATGTGCATGCATGCCCAAGATCCCAGGAGGAGAAAGGACTGCGGTGTGACCATCCCCCCTGGGGGGTGATTTCTCGCTTTCTGTCTCTATGTCTCTCTGTCTTTCTGGCGAGTGCACGCACCCTATAGCAAAAACCTCTCAAAAAAAAAAAAAAAAGGAGCATTCTGAGGACCAGCAGATGGTCTAATGGTTATAACACTGGACTCCCATGTAGTTGACTGCTATTCGAGTCTCGGACCTGGAGGCTTAAGACTAATGCCAGGTGTGTGTGTGTGTGTGTGTGTGTGTGTGTGTGTGTGTGTTTCTGAAATTTCAAGAGGAGAATGGGGGAGAGGGGCGT